TCGCCGCGTTATCACTGTCATATTTTTCCCGTATTGCTGGAATATTTAAAGCGAACAAATATTGATCAACCCGTAACACCTCGATATGTTTATAGCCATTGTATTATTGCAGAATATACACATTGCCAGTTATAAAACTAAATGAATGCTATATTCAGTTTATGCGACATCATTTTCCTATACGGGATGTCCTGAATTATGATATTTATTAAACCTTTTTGAGTTAATATCTAATAAGAATTGTAGCGTTTTTTCTGAATATCGTACGTTCACCTCACAATAGGTAAATACTAGTTATGCCTTATAGGAATAAAAATCGCAAATAATAAAGCGATATCAATTTATAGCGACGGAGTCGCGCAGTTTAATCTGGAATTATATTTCATGACCTGTCAGAACGGTCTTGAATTATTTACGAGAGAGCCCGACTGTCGACTGAAGATTTACAGTTGTTTTCTTGCAAGATCTGTTTAACGCTGCAATAAACATTGCGAAAGGACTTTTTTCGGGCCGTCTACCTTTTTGCTCGGCAACTCGCCCCGGATGAGTGACGGGCCCGCGGTTTATTTGCGTGCTTTTCGGCATCAAAAGGCGACTGTTTTACGTTTTCATTTATGAGTAATTAGATTTCGGCGATGGAACGAGAACGCGAATTTAATTAAGCCCCTGTCTCTTGTCGGATTTGTTTGACTAGCTATCGACGGGACACGCTGAGCGGTGTCTAATTAAAATTAAGGATATCACTCGATACCTTTGGGTTTCGGTAAAACGCGTGTTGCGCCGCTGAATTTAATATCAAAACGGTATTTTATTTATTAGGATGCACGCTCGTAGCGGTGACATTATTTAGAAAGCATCTAAAACTACTGCGTGTTTACAAGTAACGGCCAGTTTAAATCTAACTCATAAAAAAAAGGAAATTTACGACGGCCATAAAAGGTTTTTGAATTATCATTTACAACTGAATTAAAGTCGTCTTAATATACCATTCTCGGGTGATTATGCCATAAAAATGATTGTATAAATAATACATTAAATTACAATGCAATAATTTTTCACTACTTTTATTGCTTTTATAAATTACGAGAAACTCCTAAAAGGCGAAAGACAACATTAGCTATGGAATTAAATTAATGGCGTTCGGTTATTCAGAACTATTTGAACTGGAATAAAAACGAGGTCCCATTTCGTAATTCCCAGTAAACGGGAATTACTTTATGTACTTTTTAAATACAAGTATTAAAGTATTTTGTTTATTTTACGTTGAATGCATTTAATTAATTAAACTAAAAACCACTACAAAACTTGCAAGAATCACACACACTATTATAAAAGGATTTATATGTTGAAACGACATAAATTTTTTACAACATAATAAAACCTTTAATGATTTATTAAGAACGATAGAAACCAAATCGCCATTAGCCGAATAACATTCCCTTTTGAATGATCCCCATTCGGCGTCGAAATAAATTATGGTAATAGCGCCGTATTTAAAGGAAAAGGAAAGAAGAGGATATAACAGTAATTTGCGAGTCGTTTGATTTGAATAGAATAATAAATCAGTTTCTCCTTCGCCGCAATACACCGACCCGTCAGGGGCATGCTCCGTACGCGAAATTGACAGAGCCATAAAGCCCGTAGTTTATGTCGTATAAATTAAAGCGGAAGGGTCGAGAGGTGACGGGCGAGAGAGCGTGACCCGGTGATATTTGATGACACCAGACTAATGCAGTCATTAAAGTCTTGCGAGATTGAAACAAATGGTCTCCATGAAGTTGCGAGCACCAAGGGAACTGTCGCCGGCATCCCTTCACACACATCAATATTAATATTTATATGTGCGCCACAACTCTTCGTTACGGTGACACATTGATTGCCCTCTCGTAATCTTTGTTTTCGCTTTGCGTTTTACGTTCTGAATTTTATAGGCCGAATTAGCGGCGAATGCGAATTTCGTATACAAAGTTATACATCTTTCTTTATTTCGAATCCTTATTAACTACTAACAATTATTTATACAACATATTTGTACTTGTAATTTGAAGGATTTAATACTCCTGCTGGTATATAAAACTAGTAAAACGTCCAAATTACACATAATAAGCACGGCTCATTATTTACAGAAATATAAAAAGTCCTTCGGTAAACAGCTATAAGTAAGAACTGTCGCTTGTAAGTAGAGAACACCTCGTATACATTGACCATATTAAGCGTCGGGCTGCACCTTATCTGTTATTTATAGTCGTTTGTGGCAAATCACTGAATCGTTTGAATGAGAAAGGCGAACTCGTTTGATAAATGGTTAATAAACATGTTTTATGTTCAACGTTTGTCATATGAAGCAATTTACTAATAAATTCTGAAATGTCACATATTAATGATGCCGAATAGCTTTAAACTTAAATAGCCGTATTTATTAATGTTGCAAGCGAATTAAAATTGAAATTAGTATGGTAGTATCGATGGTACCGAAGGTAAACATTTATATCCTGTCTATCTATTTAGAATTGGAGTTGTCTTTAAATCGTTAAAGCATTTGAGTAGCCTTGTACTGTCACTTCAATCATCAATTCCACGCTGGTGTTGAGATTATCTATTACAGTGACAATTACGAATAGAGATGTCGAATCGAACGTTGTAAGGAATTCGTCGGAAGAGGAAATAATCGAGGTAATAACCGCCATGACTAGGTCGTTACGTTAGTGTCATGAAATAAATTAGAAAAAATCATTAGCATTATAATATACGCCGGCGAATATTTATTAATCTGTTTGGCTTCTTACAACACATAGCTAACTAATTGTACGCCTTTGTAATATGTAAATATTAATTATATTTTGATGCAAATGCCGCAATGATTTATAGACACAGTCAGAGTGATTTATTACGGTGTGATCGCACGGTGAAACCGACTAACCGGGCAAAAATAAGTGGAACATCTTTCACTACCATCAATCATTATTATTGCTGCATAATTGGTATTCTGATTTACAAAATGAGTTGTTTAATGTATTCGGATGTTAACGACGGTCGGTTCTTAACAAAAAACAGAAATCCGAAAGGCTATACGAAGGCTATAAAACAGAAATTATTTAATTGACGTAAATAATAATTGTTATGGAGGAAAATATATAAAATGTAATCATTAGAGCGATATGTTAATTGCTTTTTTTTCAACATTATTAACAATTTTAATACATTAATATTCATTATAAATTGCAATTATTATGAACGTATATAATTAATTGCTTGATTTTCATTTGCAATTTAAAAATAATTAATTATTACAGTATCGTTGAATTCGTTTTATTTATTTATATAACGAATCTATTTTTAAAATATTACAGTTAAAATATATGTTATTTCGAAAATTCATTACTGCATTATTCAACCTCGATTGCGCAGTATAATATTATTTGGAGAAATATAATAGGTTGTAAATCATCAGGCTCGAGATGATAAATAGCCGCCGTCATGAAAAACGCATATCCATCTATCCGAGCAACTAACCGGTTCTTCAACAATTGATGATAGAAGATAATTGGATGATTGGCCATCATTATTTCTTTACAACACTCGAGTTTCTTTGATAGCCGACTGCAACAACCGATGGCCATTGTCGATAATATTATGGTTGTTGTGTCTATGGCCACATCCTCTATCATAATCATACGCTCCGGTGTAATTACCTTCGAGATTGTATTTATGTTATTCTTAGTAGGACGTACTGATTGTTAATCATTCGTTATTTATTTTATTCACAATTTTTAAGCCGCTCACATGCACAATAAACATAAAAAAACATAATTAATTATCGAATAATCTAAACGTACACTATATTATAATTTATTCATATATTTATTCATATACATAATTGAATCGGAATTATTTATGTAAGACATCACCTCATTATTTCATCACGTTCGGTTAATAAATGCAAATTGAATCGATGATTGCTATTGAAAAACGAAAGTAGACACCTACGAAAATGTTTAAACAATATCCTTTTGATAACGCGGGCACAAAAAGGCCACCATCTAGCGCCGAGAAGTGCCGATGATAAATGAGAGTGTGCCGTGTTCAGGTGATCCATCATACACAAAAGATTGGAGATGCCAAAGAAAGGTCACTAACTGGCAATCCATCATCTGCTGCTTTCACACCCGACTTTCGTTTCCATCATCGGCGATTTACAGGAGGGACACGTCGACGAGAAGAGATAGAGTACAGGCATATCCTCGTAACGTCAAGGTAATTAATCGGCGGTCCGATTGATGCCACCAGGAAATCTAGTTGATTTCCGATCAATATTTACTCGAAAATACTCGATTAGTTAACTACTAAATCGGGACGATAAGAAATTGATCCAATTTTTATTATTGTGTTGCAATTAACTATTAATAGATATATTAGCAACCGGGGTGTAGGATGTGGTGCAAATATCAACAACATTTTATCAGGTAATTCGAAGTATTCCCAAATTCCGGCCGGAAGTGTACCACAAATCATTTGCACCGTGAATTATGGACGAGATAACATTGTTGAAGTAAAAATGATATGTTGGCTTATCAAGTTTGTTTTATAAATATTTATTAGCAATAAATAGAAGGTATTGTAGGTCATGTATAATATTATTACATAGGATATTGTATTATTTTTTTATGGTTATTATTACATTTAAATTGTAAATCCTTTTCGCTTGCGGGTATAAAAAATATTTAACGACATTGTATTTGAAACGACTGGAAAAATTTACGTGAAATTTATATGTTTCGTCCGTTGATTACAACAGAATAAATATCATACAGGTACTTAATATTTAATTACCCAACGTTTTAACGAAGAAAATGACTCAGTTTGATAAATATTTGCGAGTCGTTATACTTTTGTAAAATATTAAGCTTGCAATTTAAATTGTCATAAATAAAACAGTATTCAGGATTCACTTAAAATGAATTTTGTGCCAAATCGAATTGTCCCAGGAATAAAACTCAAAGTACATTTACAAACGTTTTTATTAAAGCATCATCGAAACTCAACATTCATTTAAATAACTATAGAAATGAGATTTTGTTGATTAAATTGAAGAGATAACTATTAACTATAAAAACGGACAGTATTAACGTTATTGCCTAAATTAAACAGGACTCTCTTTTTAATAGCGCTCCGAAAACCTTAATAAATCTAGCCTTGGCCTATTTCTTGTACATTTTGAATTTTAAACAACAGTCGTATTAATAAAATAAATTTATATTATGTGCATTGTGCACATTATGATGTTATAAAAACAAATTGTACGATCATTATAAGAAGCAAACAAACGTAAGAGAACTTCCTCCTTTCCTGATTAATAGCAGTAAACTTTTAATGAGACAAACAATAAATTACAACTGCAATAACAAATTTTTATAGCTAGATTAATTAGAGTTATCGACCATTACAATAGAAAAAAAAATCCCATTTGCTTACTCACAGATTGCACTTCAATATTACGACGATTCCGAGAAAAAATGTATATACAAATTATCACAGTCTGCAATAAAAAATAAACTTTATGTATAACAACGTTCGAAAAGATCGACGCCGGGGCGCTACTGATGCACCGCGGCGGCGCCCAATCTCTGCCCGTACATCGAATAAGCCGAATAGTAGGGACTCATGGTAGGATTGAAGGCGCTGTAGGGCGACGCCGATATGGGCGGCTTGCCGTACGGGTGATACCTAGCCGCCGATAACGGACTCAAAGGCGGATTGGGGTAACCAGGCCGGTGCATCGGAGCAGTCGAGAACAGCGGATGGTGATTGAGCAACGAGGAACTCGTGGAAATGGCCGGATCCGCGCCGTTGGTGTGGGTACGCAGGTGCTGCAAGAGTTCCTCCGACGTGGTGAACCTCTTGCCGCAATAGGTATCGCCCGCTATCCAATTGCAAATGTACGGTCTACCTAAATTAGCGTAAGCTAAGGACGACGGCACGGGCCCCGGCTGGACCAGGCTCATCGCCATCGCCAGGTTGTATTTCTGGTGATCACATTGCGTGCAACCGGACGGACACGGCCCGGTGGCGCCGCTCATCAACAACTGTTGGTTCTGCAAGCTGAACTGGCAACCCGTGCAGTAGGGGTCCTTGCAGACGGGCACCAGCGCCTCGCCGCCGGACGGCGTCTTGACGCGCGCGTAACTGAGATACGGTCCGGGCGCGGCGCCCGGATAACCGGCGGCGAACATGGCGGCGTGCTGGGCACTGAACGCGGCGCCTGGAAACGGCGGCCTGAAGGCGGGATTAGTCTGTTCCAAGCCGGGCGGACAACAGAGCGCACTCAAGTGATTGTTCAACCCGCCACTCAAATTTAAACTAGGTTTGTACGCGCCGAGGTGGGCGTCTTTCGCTCCCAGTATCTCCAGACCGGATCTGATTATGGGACTGGCGCTTCGCGCCGACGGCGTGGACGGCTTCTCCGGGGAAGTTTTCCCCGTGTCGGCCGAGGAGTTGGTCAGTGGTGAGGCGGTTTTCCTGCCGGCGCTCTGGTTGTCCGATTTCTTGTCGTCGAAGTGCACGCTGTTCTCGGATCGCGGCCGGATCTCGTCGGATTTCTTGCTGGTCACGTTGCTCTCGTACGGCTTGAAGGCCAGCTTTTGCTCGCACGGCGTCATCCGAGGCGAGGATTTCTCGGATTTCTCTTTGACCGAGCTCGGAGAGGAGCGGACCGTCTCCGAGTTGCATTTCTTCTTCTCCAGAGGAGACAGGAGGGATTTGGTGGAAGGTGAATCCGCTCCTATTTGGCTGCACGTTTGCGCCAAGAGGGCCAGCGGACTCTTCTTGGCATCGAGCTGTAATATAACAATGAATCATTTAATTGTATTCGATTTTGAAATGTTTTGGCATTTATTATAGTAATCGGTAATCTGATCTTAACAAATAGTGTGCATTAACATTTTAGGCTTTTATACTGTTCTTTGCATAATCTTATAATCAACTCGTTTCATTATGTTCATTACATCATATCTCATATATTAGAATGATTTATGTTTTAATATGTTAAAATTTGTGCTCGAAAATCTTGCAAGCGGAAAATAATGCAACGCTAATTAAAAAAATGAATGAATAAAGTGATTTATTCACTTTAAAGGGATTCAATCACATAAGGAATTCAAATATGGAAGGTTTAAAGCGCTAGTTGCGATCCGTCGGGTAAAGATGAAGAGGAGCTTTTCTAAATATTCTAAATAAAGTAGTCCCTTGTGAAAGATATACTGTTAAATTACAGTAAAGTGATTAAAACAGTTGTTAACTGTAATTATATTTGAGATTGCTTATAATTTAATAAATGTAGTGAGTAGTGACTACATTATAAGTTAAATACTATATTCTTTGTATGTTTTAATGGATGTTTCAATGGTTTTTATATTAAAAACTATACTTACAGTGGTTGGCAAAGGGGATAAATAATCGGGTTGCAGATACTGATTGCCCGCAGAGGACAACATCGTGCCTCCCTCCAACACAACCATTTGCGGACGAAAAAATTCACAAACAGGCCACCAAAAATAAATCACAATCACAAATCACAATCGTACCTGCTTGCGACAGAAGCAACAAATAAGTGAACAAATACACAACGAAAACGTTTCGCGCTCAGTTCACTCTCTAGCGGCTCGTTCTGCTGTGGAGGTCAGGCCGTGAAAACGGAGCTGAAAGCTGAAAACGGCGACTCTGTCGACCGACGCGCCTGCGCCGTTCGCTTTCTCTCGTCTCTATCGCCCCGTAAAAACCGTAGCATGACAAAGCGCTAATACCGCCACGTTTCTATCCTGTCGGCTCCTACCACCCATGAAGCTGGTGACGATGACAGACCCTCTGGACACTTTGAACTTCGCCGACGTTTCTCTAACCGAGGAGGTTCGGTGCACGGGCGCGCCGAAGGGAAACGATCCGTTAATCCCAATTCTTGATGCTCTTTCATGAATAATGAGGAACAGGGATTAGGAGCTGTACTAATAAGTTGGTGAGATGATGAGGACAATGTGATGTCTAGGAAGCGTTATTTCATCTATTTTCAATTGATGGTTAACATGGTGTAGACCAAATAATTGTGTTATTAATAAATTCAAGTCCAATTCTGGTTACTTTATTCCACTGATCCTAAGGTGTTAGTAGAGCTGATAAGTGAAGAGATTAGCATTTATACTAATAAATCGGTGAGAAAATGAGGACAATGTGATGCCTACGAAATGTTATTACACTAAATTCACTTGATGGTAAACATGGTATAGACCAAATGATTGTCCAATTACTTTATTCTGGTCCAGTTCTGGTTACTTTGCATTTTATTCCACTGATCCTTATAGATTACTAGAAGAAATGATTATTGAAGAAGTGATAATCATTTGAATTGAATTATTTTCTATATCCCTTGGATAAAACCCCCGTGGAGCGCCGATGGGCGAACGCCCGAAAATGTTGAGAGTAATCAGTAGCACACAAAACATGAAATAGAATAACAAATACCGATGGAACAATGCGATGATAGAAAGATAAAGAGAGCGGCATCGGATATTAGAGGCAATGTCGATCATAAACTCGGTTTGGGTTATTGCCAGCTTTATTTATTTTATAGATACGTCTGTTATTCCCTGTCATAACTTATATAAACGTGTCAGGGTATTTTACCTGTTTTCGACTGGTGCCGACAACTTTTATTCCTTTAATTTGAATTTTTTATGAGGAAAAGGAAATCGTCGGGGACCGCGTTGAAATTTATTTAACGGCTGGTTTGTTTATTTGTCCAATTACCTTTTATGCAACTTTACAGTGGAGGCGTTTCAACTCATTTTATTCAATGGTTTTTCATTTGAATCGACACACACACACACCTATTACTTAATAAATCCCGAAAAAACCATCGTCATTGTCGATGAATATCGGACGACGTTTCGATACCGTCGGTACCTCATTATGATACAGCCGGAGAAAATTCAGCGGCGGAATCGGCGGCATAGCCCTTTGATTCTTTATTCGCCGCGACTTCCATCACTGTCCGACCATGTCCAATAAATCAGAGTGCCGTCCTCTACGTTTGACGTTAACCGAGAATTATTTATAGTATTTCATGTGTTTTTTGCGAAACCGAATCGCGAACGCAGGCTCGAACCGGCCCCGAGGAAATTTATACCAACATGGGACCCATACAAAACTTTCATTAGAACTAACAAGGAAATAGAAAATTGATCGAATGTAATTTACTACCTACTTTATACCTGCAAGAATAGCCAGATAGTTTTGATGTGATGCTTGCTTAGGTACTCAAAGTTGTACGTTTAATTCAAATAAAATCTTTTTTTTCCGTTAGAATCAGAATAAAATACGAACCTGTGCGGTGTTTCCAGTAATTTTTTTGTTCTTAGAGTCCAGTCCAGGCCAATTATTGGCGGGTTCTTTAGCGACGCGGATGGATTCGCTGAAAAGAATAAAATTCGTTTATATAATGCTAATATGATGCATATATTTTAATGGGTATGCCTGCTTTGGTAGCCTCGCAAAGCCGGCATGAATGAAATGCCTCGGCTCCTCCGTATCGGTCGGTTTCCTTTAGCTAAGCGCGGAATCAGAAACAACCAAAAAAAATAGAAATAACACAAGGATTTTTCAATGTAATGTTTTCTAGAAAAATGCTATTGTAGCCTTTTATAGGAGTGTTTTATTAATTACTAGCATATTAGGTAATTTCAATTTCAAAGCAAGTATCCTCCTGACTATAACAACGCAAATATTTTTCTACAACTATCCCCCTCACTATAATTATGTAGGTAAATATTAAAATAGTACGGAGGACAAATCCACTTTTGCTCGTAGTGTTTTATGATTGAAATATGCAAATGTGAGCGAGTTAAGATAAACGTATTTTTCAACGAATCTCCTTATCGACTGTCCGGTTTTTGTCACACTTACAAATGCCGGCTGCCAAATGGAAATAATTCCGGACAAGACAATTAATAAATCTATTCATCACGCTAGACGTAACGACCACGAAAATAACATTTAAAATAAACGCTCTCGGATAATTTATGCGTCCGAGATCAAAGTGTTGCAACCTAAAAATGTCGCGTTCGTTCGGTAGAACATCCATCAGTGGCGTAACTAAGAAAATACTGCACGAAAGAAACAATTTTCGACTTTTTCAATATCGATATTTCAATGTATATCGACCGGATTAATCGAATTTACGTAGGATTTTTTACAATTTTCAATCGATCGTTATAGGTCGGTGTATTTTTTATGCATTTGCAAATAGCCCCGAGTGAGTCGCTGTGCAATAAATAAAATGTCTCGTTAATTCCGTCTGTCATGAGCAATTATACCAATTATAAACTGGTCCGACGGCGAATTCTGAGGCTGGATCGTGTCCAAGTAATTTCGTTCAAAAATAAAATGACAGGACATATACAACGCTAACGTATAAATCTTCTGGTCGTCCGAATGCGTAATTTGAACATTTTTTCTTTACGCCAAGCGATTCGCGCTAATGTCACTCGATATATTTAGAGTTTTTATGGTTGCATTCTACACGCTATTTCGCCAAATAATTCCATTCGACTGGAATTCCAATTTATCTTCGACGCGATCCGAAATAGCCGCGGAAAAGTGCCATTCTAATTGTACGTAATATATCCAGTTTCCATCTTTTTCATTACATGCAGATGAAATTGTTGTACCTACTTTTGTATTACAATTGTATTGCAAATAGTTTGTGACCTTCCAGTTATTCAAAACAACTAGGCAATAAAGCGTATAATCCATTTAGAATGAGGGAATAGGAAAGTCTTTCAGACTATTTTACGCCATAAATAACAATAAAATTAAATAATCTCGTAGATTTGTCGCTGGATAATAAGACAATTAGTGTTTGTTATTCTACTTTATAGGATTATTTAATAGGCTTTGTGCAATAAACAAATCAGCCATGTCCGATTTTATAACCTCAAATATCTCCTAAACTAAACGAGATTGTCGTCCTCACCGCAGGTAAAGGTATAAACGAAACGACAGGTCAATAATATTTATTTCAGTACAAGAGATTACCGGTTAGTTTATTTATTGCCATTCTCGTTTACTTGTAATCCACTTAAAATATTTTATTACCTTTATCCCAACTTATACAACCAGATTTTCGAAATTCTTGTTATAAGAAACTCAAAACTTTACCCAAAGGGATTTAAAATTTACATGTAATAGGATGATTTAAGATGACCCAGCGTGACCCAATTGAACACACAAGAGACAAATCTCGACTCCACCAAAATAAATTCACACGTGTTAGGAGATAAATTTCATCGGATAAAATAAAAACTTCCAACTCGAGTCGTTCAAAACTGATATCAACTCCTTCTGGGCAGAAAGAAACAGTTTAAACCGTAAATCCGCGGGATTTACGGTATGTAATTGTAGGAAATAATCTTCCAAAGGGGATGTTTCCTTTTACTGGAAGACTTCCAATTCAAAGTGCTCCCATAAAATAGCCGAGAGTAAGTGCATGGTAAACAATCGGCGTTTAAACACAGTGTTGCATTTCAGAAATGAAATATCCCTCCGAATTTATTACGCTAGAGATGTGCAAATGTAACGTATCGATTAATCCGGGAACGCCAGAAATCTGGAAACGAAATCGAGACAATCATAGAAGTGCCATGCAATAAAGTGGAATTGCAAGAGCGACACGTATCGGCAATGAGATTCAACGATACTCGGAAGCCAAGACATAACGATTAGCGCTGAAGCGGTACGGGCAGCATTGACCGTGTCAACGTTGGCTACTTGTCTTTATTGGCGACTAACTATATCGATACGGCCGCGTCCCAGCCATTATGGCGTCAATTAAGGAATATTGGTGTAGTGGTAGCGCAGCAAATTGTACATACGTTCGCCCGAAGATAAACGCAAATTGTCGCTTCGAGTGTATCTATCGAGATTCTTTCGTTCTCGGTTTTCCAAGTGGATGTTGGCTAATGTATAAATTTTTTAAATTGATTCGAAACAAAGTTGATAAGCATTCATTTATAGGTAGAGGTACGTATTTGCGGAATACGAATAAGAGGTTGCGCTTTTGAAATCCGACGTTTATTATTTACGATGGAAATAAAACAACATCAATTAGTGTTTAAGTATGAAATCGAATGGTATAATCATATAATCACCTTCGCATACCATTAATTATTTTCAACACGTAGATTACAGCGATTAATTTATAGCAATAAACATCGATATTACTTGGGCATCAATAAGAGGTAATTACGTAGTCTGGAAATGAATTGATAATTTTCGAATTTTATCGACCGCCGCGCGGAGGATAGAGACGATAAGCTGGCCTGGCATTAGCTACCACAAGGAGAATTTTATTGCCCGTAATGCAGCTATAAACACAAAACTATATGTTACAACCTCTTTCGTATACGTTAATTCCTCCTTAATTTGCATATCCGTAGCGTGAGTTGTGCAAAAGATTAGCCACTTATCTGACGTTTACATTTAACTACCAATACATTATTATTATTTATTGTCACGTTCTCCGCCAAGTTAAACTACTTATCTGAGAAGAAAATTTATTATCGTCGTATTTTAGCCGAGAGTGGTTCATGTCATTCA